AATACTGGTGGAGAGCGTCAGTTAGGCTGGAACTTAATTTTGCTCTAAAGCACCTTGACAGAAAACCGTAAGCCCTAGAAAAATTTTGAAAACATTTTACCGGAGCAAACATTCGTATCTATGTCATGACCGAGTTTGATACCAATAGCACGATATTTGTGGGCGTGGCGGCGATTTCAAAATTATTTGGGGTCAGAAATCCACTTCATTTTTCACTCTAGCGGAGCGGCAGTTGGTGGCAGTTATGCTCTGCGTTTCGGCAGTTGGAAATTTCGCTCGTTTTTCGCTTTTTACGTCGCCGTCTTAACGCCGATTCCCCATAAAAGTAATAGCTCCAATGCCGGGATCGAGCCGCACGTTTTGATACCACTTTTGTGGGTGGGCTCGCAGCGGTGCGAGCCGCATTAACGGTAGCGGAAGAAGAAGTTATAATAATAATAATAAAGAGGCGTTCTATTGGGTGTAGATTAATAGGTGCCTGCCATGCAATGCATGGAGGCAGTGACTGACTTGCTTCGCAAGTCAGTCACTGCTCTCCTTATGCATTGCTATGGGCAGCCCCAATAATAAAGAGATATTCTATTGGGTGTAGAATAATAGGTGCCTGCCATGCAATGCATGGAGGCAGTTACTGACTTGCTTCGCAAGTCAGTAACTGCTCTCCTTATGCATTGCTATGGGCAGGCCCCAATAATAAAGAGGCATTCTATAGGTGAAGATTAATAGGTGCCTGCCATGCAATGCATGGAGGCAGTGACTGACTTGCTTCGCAAGTCAGTCACTGCTCTCTTATGCATTGCTATGGGCAGGCCCCAATAATAATAATAATAAAGAGGCGTTCTATTAGGTGTAGATTAATAGGTGCCTGCCATGCAATGCATGGAGGCAGTGACTGACTTGCTTCGCAAGTCAGTCACTGCTCTCCTTATGCATTGCTATGGGCAGGCCCCAATAATAATAATAAAGAGGCGTTCTATTAGGTGTAGATTAATAGGTGCCTGCCATGCAATGCATGGAGGCAGTGACTGACTTGCTTCGCAAGTCAGTCACTGCTCTCCTTATGCATTGCTATGGGGCAGGCCCCAATAATAATAATAAAGAGGCGTTCTATTAGGTGTAGATTAATAGGTGCCTGCCATGCAATGCATGGAGGCAGTGACTGACTTGCTTCGCAGTCAGTCACTGCTCTCCTTATGCATTGCTATGGGCAGGCCCCAATAATAATAATAAAGAGGCGTTCTATTAGGTGTAGATTAATAGGTGCCTGCCATGCAATGCATGGAGGCAGTGACTGACTTGCTTCGCAAGTCAGTCACTGCTCTCCTTATGCATTGCTATGGGCAGGCCCCAATAATAAAGAGGCATTCTATTGGGTGAAGATTAATAGGTGCCTGCCATGCAATGCATGGAGGCAGTGACTGACTTGCTTCGCAAGTCAGTCACTGCTCTCCTTATGCATTGCTATGGGCAGGGCCCCAATAATAAAGAGGCATTCTATTGGGTGAAGAACAATAGGTGCCTGCCATGCAATGCATGGAGGCAGTGACTGACTTGCTTCGCAAGTCAGTCACTGCTCTCCTTATGCATTGCTAGGCAGGCCCCAATAATAATAATAACTAGAAAATTCCTGAAGAAATTTAACCGGGCCCTGCCAAAGTGTGCCCGTCGATTTTGACCCAGCGTTCTGATGCTAAACATTAGCATCCATGCTAAAGAAAGCTGCAATGTCATCAATACAATGTGGAGAGTCACAAGCATGACTTACTGCATTCAGGAAACTAAATATGGGTAATAAGTAAGGGAAATAGCTAATGCAAGGTAAAAGGCTAATGCTAATGCGCTGCCTTGCGCAGCAAGGCAGAGCCCTAACCTTAGTGGAAAAGATCATGCAGGATAATCTTATTGCACTGCCTATGGCAGTGCACTGGTGGGGAACAGAGAAATGCTAATGTTTGTGCTAAATGCTAATGCACTGTCTTGCTATGCAAGACAGTGCCCTAACTTGAGAGGAAAAGATAATGCAAGCTAATATCATTGCAGCGCCTGCGGCGCTGCATTAGCTACGGCCGAATCTTAAGGCTTTTATTTTAAAATGTTCAGAATGTTTAATTTTAAATGGTCAATGTAATCCCATGTATAACAGTGATTTGGTTAAATCAGACATATAATGGTCAAAAGAGCACTTATTTAATAAAAAAATCTCAAGGCTTTTATTTTGAAATTTTTTTAAAGCTTAATTTAAAATTTCCACACTAATTCCATGTGTAACAATGGTTGGTTAAAAATAGTTATAAAAGGCCCAAAACACAAGCAGTTCTAAAGTCCAGCTTTTTTCTCTGAGTTCTGCCATAGTTAGAACTACAGTGATGCGTTTTTGTAGTCCTAATCAGCTGGCCCCTTTGTGTTCCGTTGCCATGGTAATGGATCCTCTGCCAGCTGTGAGTCAGACAGGGGGAGACATAATTCTATCAGTTTGAGGCAGCCATTTTCCTTAAAATATGCATGAGCCAGAAAGGAATCTTAAGGCTTTTATTTTGAAATTTTCATTGAGATTAATTTTAAATGGCCAATCTCATCCCATGTTTAACACTGATTGGGTTAAATCAGTTATATAGTGATCAAAAGAGCAATTACTTGATGGAAAAATTGTCAAGGCTTTTATTTTGAAATTTAATTAAGCTTAATTTTAATGGTAACACTAATCCCATGTGTAACTATGGAGTTTTGAAATCAGTTCTAAAATTCCCAAAAACCAAGTACTTGTCATGGCCAGCTGATTACTCATCGGTAGTAACTGACAGTTCCGCATGTTGTAGTTTTTATATTCACCTATGACCTCTTCTGTAGGCACTGAGTGTTCCATGTTGTAGTTCTAACCTTCAGGAATTGTAGTTCTAAAGAGCAGCTCATTCCTCCTCAGTAGTAACTGACAGTTCCACCATGTTGTAGTTTTTATATTCACCTATGACCTCTTCTGTAGGCACTGAGTGTTCCGCCATGTTGTAGTTCTAACCTTCAGGAATTGTAGTTCTAAAGAGGAGGTCAACTGTCATGTCAGTGTGACACACAAGGAGAGACTTAATTCTAAATGCTTGAAGAAGTTAGTTTTTCTGACAGGCCCTGAGAGAAATATTCAAGGCTTTATTTCGAAATTTTTATTAAGCTTAATTTAAAATTGCCAAACTAATCCTGTCTGTACAATGGTTGCTTACAATCAGTTATAAAAGTCCAAACACAATGTAATTCTAAAGGCCATCTCATTCCTCCTCAGCAGTAACTGACAGTTCCGCCATGTTGTAGTTCTGACAATCAGCTCTGACCTCTTCTGTAGGCACTGAGTGTTCCGCCATGTTGTAGTTCTAACCTTCAGGAATTGTAGTTCTAAAGAGGAGGTCAACTGTCATGTCAGTGTGACACACAAGGAGCGGCTTAATTCTAAATGCTTGAAGAAGTTAGTTTTTCTGACAGGCCTGAGAGAAATATTCAAGGTTTTATTTTTAAATTTTCATTCAGCTTAATTTTAAATGTCCAAAATAATCCAAAGTTTAACAGTGGTTCTGTTAAAAAAGTCACATAATGCCCAAGAGAGCAATTACGTGATATAAAGAATCTCAGGGCTTTTATTTTGAAATTTTCATTAAGCTTAATTTAAAATGTCCACACTAATCCTGTGTGTAACAATGGTTGGTTAAAATCAGTGATAAAAAGCCCAAACACAATGTAATTCTAAAGGCCAGCTCATTCCTCCTCAGTAGTAACTGACAGTTCCACCATGTTGTAGTTCTGACAATCAGCTCTGACCTCTTTTGTAGGCACTGAGTGTTCCGCCATGTTGTAGTTCTAACCTGCAGTCATTGTAGTTCTAAAGAGGTCAACTGTCATGTGTGTGAGGCAGAGACAGATTTCTATCTTTGTGAGACAGCTCAGTCAGTTATAATGGAAAAAGCAGCCCGAACAACTCCTTGCCGTTCGGAAACCGTGATACGTATCGGAAAACCGTTTGAAGCGTATGAGAGAGCTATTTTTTGTCTCCGATAGTCCTGCAAATCAAATCTGTAGCTCATTCACAGTAATTACAGCGATGAGATAAAAATGGTGTGTGCTGAGGTCTGAAATTTTCCATCAAAGTATGAAAATATATGGTGGAGAGCGTCAGTTAGGCTGGAACTTGATTTTGCTCTAAAGCACCTTGACAGAAAACCGTAAGCCCTAGAAAAATTTTGAAAACATTTTACCGGAGCAGACATTCGTATCGATGTCATGTCTGAGTTTCATACCGATAGCACGATATATGTGGGCGTGGCGGCGATTTCAAAATTTATTTGGGGTCAGAAATCCACTTCATTTTTCACTCTAGCGGAGCGGCAGTTGGTGGCAGTTATGCTCTGCGTTTCGGCAGTTGGAAATTTTGCTCGTTTTTCGCTTTTTATGTCGCCGTCGTAACGCCGATTCCCCATAAAAGTAATAGCTCCAATGCCGGGAACAAGCCGCACGTTTTGATACCACTTTTGTGGGTGGGCTCGCAGCGGTGCGAGCCGCATTCCGGTCTACGGAAGAAAAATAAAGAACTATAATAAAGAAGCGTTCTATTGGGTGAAGATTAATAGGTGCCTGCCATGCAATGCATGGAGGCAGTGACTGACTTGCGAAGCAAGTCAGTCACTGCTCTCCTTATGCATTGCTAGGCAGGCCCCAATAAAGACATTCTATTGGGTGAAGATTAATAGGTGCCTGCCATGCAATGCATGGAGGCAGTGACTGACTTGCTTTGCAAGTCAGTCACTGCTCTCCTTATGCATTGCTAGGCAGGCCCCAATAATTTGACAGTAAGTGACACAATAAAGCAGAAAACGATTTAAAAATTCGATGTTCTCGTGGAAACCTGCTTTGGACCTACACCGGGTCAGATAATCTCCCAGAACCTTCTCAAGTGTTGTTTTAAAAAAGTCCCACAGTCCCTGAACGCCGCCCTCTTCTGCATGTGTCGTCATCACCCGGAATCCGGAAGTGTCCCGCTTGTTGTGAACTGTCTCTCCGTTGGTCCGTTCTTCTTCCTGCTGGTTCGAATGGCGGGTTCTGTGGGTCCGGGTCGGACCGGCTCTGGGTTCTGCTGCTCTGCGGTGCTGCTGCTGCTGCTGGCGGCCGGACCTGGACGCGTCCGGGCCGTGTCGGAACCGGGGAAGTGGACGGTGGACGTTGGTGTGAGTTTCCTGTTAGCTAAAAGTTAGTGATGCTAAAAGGTTCGGTTTCAGGTGGTTCCGGTTCGGTTCTACTGCTCCATGGAGCTGATTTTGGGTCAGTCATTAAAGCCCAGTCAGGGACATGAACTGATTCATGGCGAACGTGGCAAAACGCAGATTAATGACAATTTAACCCCTCTAATAGTTAGACTCGTGTGTGACGTCACTAAGAGAGCTGCCGAACTCATGGACGGTTTACAGCCTCCAGAACCTCCTTATTCTATTGACAGGAACTGAACTTTTGATCTTTGAGTTTTCTGGACAGAACTTAACATCAGGTTTAGGTATGGGCTTTGACTAGGCCATTCTGCTGTACCTCTGCTGCTGAGATTGGTTCAGTCGGATCCTCTGGTTCTGGTTGTGTTTCAGGAGAACCAGAAGCCTCAGTACTTCGTCTTCAGGAAGACGCTGTTCAATGGCAGCACCATCCACCTGCGAGGTGAGTTCCGACCCGGTCTGGTCCAACTCAGCCTGGCCTCTGAGCCCTGACCTCTGTGTTTGTCTCAGCTATTCCTCAGAATTGCTCCATGTCCTCAAAAATGGAAGTTTCCTGGTACCTGAGGAACTCCCACTGCTACAACGAGGTCTACAACAAGAACGTAAGCGGCTCGGTCCTGGTGGTACCGCCGGGTCCTGGTGGTACCGCCGGGTTCCGGTTCATTTGGAGCAGAAACGCTGCAGATTGCTACCGCAGCATGAAACTATTCTAAAGATAATTTTTTTCCTGTCAAACTACCTCCATGTTGTGACAGTTTGATATGAAACAGAAAATCTATGAAAAGATTGATCTTAGCGCTGTCAATCATCCTCATGTACTCTCTAATTGTGTTAATTCCAGAGAAACAACTTGCTGTTACAGGAAACCATTTATTTGCTGTCATTGGTGACTGTGCTTGCTAGCATTAGCATTAGCCACAGGCCTTGCTTAGCCCAGTCACTGTAACAAATTTGGCTGGATGATGAATTGTTCCAGAAGTTATCATGATAAACGACAATATTGTTCCTTTGAGACCATTTTCCTGAAATGGAAACATTCTCGAAGATCAATGAACTTTATTCTAAAAAACATTTAACACTGGAACGGGAAGACATTTTAAATATTCAGATCAACAAAACAGGAGAAAATGAAATAATGAATTCTCTGCTAACTGAGGCCAAAGCGCCCGGCTGAGAACTCCATCATCCGGTTTTTGATCGGAACAGAAAAACATCAAGTCATGCAAATGGGAACTATTGCGGTAGTTCTAATTTTTTATGCGATTAGTTGATGATTGTAACAAGCTAGCTATGCTAACTGCAGCGTAGCAGAGAGCAAAGGGACGAACAGCGCCACACAAGCTTGTGATTGACAGCACTAAGACCCGCCTCATGGTTCTGATTGGCTGTTTCCAGAACATGGTGACAGTTATCTGTAAAACATTTTATTAAGTTCCTGCTGCTTTAATCTTGTTATCCAGGTGTGTTGCCTTCAAGTGCCTGTGTTTCTGTAGGTTTTTATGGCTCAGTTGATGTTTGTGTCTCCATCCAGCTGAACCCAGAGAATTACTTCAACTCAGACTTGGTGGCAACAGAGGGGCGGTCGGGGGCCATGGTGAAGCACACCCACGAGCCAATCAGCTGCCAGATAAAGCCCCACATTGTGAGGACCGCCGGATGAGCAGCCGCCGAGTCGGAGACCAAGACGTAACTAAAGGTGTTTGCTTGGTGTTTCAGTTCAGCGTAGCGCAGTTCGACCCGCCCACCCCGCTGAAGAACCCGCCTCCACCTTCAACATCTTCGTCTGCGCCGGTGGGTCCAAAAGCAGCAACATTAATAACGTCACCGCAGGAACGCCTCGTTCTGTCTGGGAGAAACGGGAAGAAACTTTAATTCTCATTATTTTATTTTTTTAATTCCTCAAATAGATTTTTCCCCTCCAAATATACAAAAATACTCAAATTAAACCTGAAGTTATTTAATTAAACATGCATTAAATGTACAAACTAAAACCCCTGACCAGCAGTTGGCCGGCTCACTTCCGTAGCCAATCCATACGAATTGATTAATCATTGAAATCATAATTAATTAGTTATGGAGGCCAGGAGTTCACAGACTGTAAAACCGGCCGGCAGCTGGAGGAGCAACTCGGCTGCCTGGATGACGCTTTGCTGCGTTTTTCTGTCTACAACATTCAGTGAATCTGGTTTCCTCCAGCCAGGAGAGAGAGAATCATTCTGCTGTTCTTCTCCTGATGCCTTTTCACGACCAGAACCGAGCCGCACCGGGACTCGACACATGGACTCGTTAGGACTGGAGAACAGCAGGATAGATTCTGTGACTTCTAAAGTATCTCACGGTGACCTTGAATCGACCTTTTAAATGGTTGAAGTTGAGCTACTGGAGGGAGCAGAAACCCAGGCTCGTGTTTGGACCTGACCCGGTTCTGGATTGATCAATACTTTAGCCTTGGAGTTGAAACCGGACCTGTTGGACCAGATCACAATTCAGGTCAACAAGTTCGGTTTTTACCTGTGGTCAGTGAACGCATCGTCGCTGGGTGTGGTTCGGGTCCGGCCGAATCAGCCGGTCCAGTTTTGGTTCTGAACTCTAATGTTGTCTCTCCATTCTGACTCAAAGGAAAAGACTGGGAGGAAGAAGAGAGAAGCTAAGAAACCAGAACCAAAGGTACGGTCCGGTTCTGTCCGGTTCCGGTCAGAGCCGTTTGGGTCTATGGTCCAGAACCTTCATGTGAACTCGACTGATCTTCTTCTCTTCTCTGGTCCTCAGGGTGCTGGTGGCTCCTCTAATCAGGTCAGTCAGGTCACCAGAACCGGGCCAGGGTTTGTTGTGGGGTGAAAGGTCAGGGAGTTGACCCTGTTTGTTCCTCAGACCGACTTTGACATCGTGGCCCAGTCCTGGGAAGACGGACCCTACATGTTCATCATCAAGGTCCAGAAGACCGGAACCAGGCCGTGGAGACTGCAGCGTCCGTACACTGATGCACGCACACACACACACACACACACACACACACACACACACACACACACACACACACTAACACACACACAGAGAGAGTTTGATCTCTTCCTGGTTGAACTGGTTCTGTGGTTTTGTTTCCAGTTCAGGTCAGCATGAAGGGACCTCATGGCTTCATCTCAGCCACTGAGTGGCCTCTGATGGTGGTGAGAGCCCAACACACACACACACACACACTAACACACACACACTAACACACACACAAGCATTAAACATGTTTCCTGGTTAAGATGTGTATAAAATCTTAATTTATTGTTTTATTATTAATTTATTTAGCAGAAGATTGAAAACATTTGTTTCTTTTTACAAAGTCCACATGCCAGAGTGAACAGAATGAAGCAAATCTGCCTGAATCATGTTTTAGTTTATAAATCAGAATTAGAGTTAAGATATGAAACATGATGTCATCAGACTTCCTGTCTGGCTTATGAACCTGACTCACCTTAGAGGGCTGCTTCACCTGGAGCTATGTTCAAAATGGGTAAAACAGGAGCGCATGTAGAAAGGGGTTAGCCAATCACTGGACCGGACCGAACCGGAGCAGATCCGCTGGAGCAAAGAGGGGCATCCATAGCAACCATGAGAGATTACAGCTTGGCCTACACAAATAGGAACATGTAGACATTGTTAAGCTCGTGTGGGCCTTTAACTAGACCAGATATGCCCCCTGCAGACTGGTGGAGCCATTTTCTTGGCTTTCCTTCAAATTGAAGGCAGATTCTTTCTGACCTCGTGTCAGATGCTGCTGCTCCAGTAAAAACTCAAATTAAAGTTTTGTACACATGGACATGGGTGCTAACTCCTGCCCATTCCACTGGCTAACTCATCCTGAGTTAGCTGGCTAATTGCTTGTGCTAACTCCTCCAGCTAACTCCACTGGATAACTCCTCGTGCTAACTTCATTGGCTTATTCCTTCTGCCAATTCCACTGGCTAACTCCTCTGGCTAATGCCTCCTGCTAACATCTTCTGCTAATGCATCCTGCTAACTCCAACATCCTGCTAACTTGTCCGTGTCTCTGCAGTTCTACATGGTGATGTGCATCGGGTATGTGCTGCTAGCTGTGCTGTGGCTGGTTCTGTCCGCCTGCTACTGGAGAAGCCTGCTTCGGATCCAGTTCTGGATTGGTGGCGTCATCTTTCTGGGCATGCTGGAGAAAGCCGTGTACTACGCCGAGTTCCAGAGCATCAGCTATGAGGGCGTATCAGGTAGCCTGTTAGCCATTTATCATGTCAGTCTGTCAGCCAGGTAGCATTTCAGCGTGTTAGCCAGGTAACGTGTTAGCATGTCAGTCAGGTAACATGTTAGCGTGTTAGCCAGGTATAATATTATCCCTTTTAGCCAGTGTCTCCTCCTCCTGGTTCTACCTGCTGAGCTGTCATGTGTCCTCCCACAGTCCAGGGGGCGGTGGTGTTTGCCGAGGTGCTTTCGGCCGTGAAGCGGACGCTGGCCAGAGTTCTGGTGATCATCGCCAGTCTGGGATACGGAATCGTCAAGTGAGTCCGGCTGCTGTCGCTATCAGAGAATAGTAATCCCAGTAATGTAACAGAACCAGGCCTGGAGAAAACGGGTCGGCCAGAACCACAAATCACTTCCAAGACGGTTCAAGGTTCTTACAGCATTTATATTTATTGACATGTCTCAAATATTAAAATGATCGAGAACACTGCTGACAGATCCGTCGGGTTCCCTCCTGAACATCCTCTCGTCCTGCGAAGAGGATCTTTGCAGCGAGATGTCTCACTCTGACAACTAACTGACGTCGGTTTTAATGCGTCTTATTACTTAAGAAAAACAAACTTGGTTTTTTGCATCCGGAGTTGTTACGGATGCTTTAAATTTCATGATTCCAGATTTGTAGGGGTTTTTTTTGTTTCTAAGCTATCATGACCTTTAACCCCTGTGACCTTCTCCCCCCCTGTTTCTGTCAGGCCAAGGCTGGGTGCCCTGTTGCACAGAGTGGTCGGCGTCGGCTTGCTCTACCTGCTCTTCTCCATCATCGAGGGAGTCTTGCGGGTCCACACGGTGAGTTCTGACCTGCCGGCCCGGTTCCAGTGGCTCAGGTTCTAACCCGCTGGCCAGGTTCTGTTGGACCTGTTCCAGCCCAGTTGTGGATCAGTTCTGGGCCGGTTCCGGCCTAGTCTAAACCGTGTGTTCTGCAGGATCGGGGGAACGACGACCGGAGCCTGATAGTGTGTGACGTGGTTCTGGCTCTGACCGACTCCTGCGTTGTCTGGTGGATATCCTTACAGTGTCAGAACCTTCAGTCATGATTGAATCTCGTTTTACCGTTTGATTCATTTTGTGTGCCTGGACTGAACTCCAGGTTCAGAGTTCTAATCTGAAAACACAGAAGAAGAAAAAGCCTCTGAGAACCAGTTAGCTGCTGATTTAACTTCTTTCTATTTATTTTCTCTCATCCTCCTTTTTTTCCTCCTTTATTCTTGCATTCATCTCCTCCTCCTCCTCCTCCCTTTGTCTTCAGGCTGAAGATGATGTTGTTCTTCTGGCTGCTATTCCTCTGGCTGTGCTCGACTCTGCCCTCTGCTGGTGGATATCCGCTACTGGATCTTTCCTTTTTAGAGCAGTGTTTCCCAACCTGGTCCTCAAGGCTCAGTGCCCTGCATGTTTTAGGTATTTCCTGGCTTCAGTCAGATGATTTCAATTGATGACTGATGAACAGGTGTTTGTTGAACTGCAGTCAGTTGAATCAGGCACATTAAAGCAGGGAGACCTCAAAAACGCGTGGGACAGTGAGCCTTGAGGACCAGGGTTGGGAAACACTGCTGGAGAGAATCAACCTGTTGCTGCCGTTTCTGTGCTGGCGATCCATGTTAGCATTGTCCATGTTAGCATCGTCCATGTTAGCATCGTCCATGTTGGCGTCCTCCATGATGGCGTCCTCCATCTTAGTGTCCTCCAAGTTAGCGTCCTCCAGATAGCATCATCCATGTTAGCGTCCTCCATGATAGTGTCCTCCATGTTAGCATCATCTATGTTGGCGTCCTCCATGATGGCGTCCTCCATGTTAGCGTCCTCCATGATAGTGTCCTCCATGTTAGCATCATCTATGTTGGCGTCCTCCATGATGGCGTCCTCCATGTTAGCGTCCTCCATGATAGTGTCCTCCATGTTAGCATCATCTATGTTGGCGTCCTCCATGATGGCGTCCTCCATGATGGCGTCCTCCATGATAGCGTCCTCCATGTTAGCGTCCTCCATGTTAGCGTCCTCCATGTTAGCATCATCCATGATGGCGTCCTCCATGATAGCGTCCTCCATGTTAGCGTCCTCCATGATAGTGTCCTCCATGTTAGCATCATCTATGTTGGCGTCCTCCATGATGGCGTCCTCCATGTTAGCGTCCTCCATGATAGTGTCCTCCATGTTAGCATCATCTATGTTGGCGTCCTCCATGATGGCGTCCTCCATGATGGCGTCCTCCATGATAGCGTCCTCCATGTTAGCGTCCTCCATGTTAGCGTCCTCCATGTTAGCATCATCCATGATGGCGTCCTCCATGATGGCGTCCTCCATGATAGCGTCCTCCATGTTAGCGTCCTCCATGTTAGCATCATCCATGAAAGCGTCCTCCATGTTGGCGTCCTCCATGATGGCGTCCTCCATATTGGCGTCCTCCATGATGGCGTCCTTCATGTTGGCGTCCTCCATGTTGGCGTCCTCCATGATAGCGTCCTCCATGTTAGCATCATCCATGTTAGCATCATCCATGATAGCATCATCCATGATAGCGTCCTCCATGTTGGCGTCCTCCATGATGGCGTCCTCCATGTTGGCGTCCTCCATGATAGCGTCCTCCATGTTAGCATCATCCATGTTAGCATCATCCATGATAGCGTCCTCCATGATGGCGTCCTCCATGTTGGCGTCCTCCATGTTGGCGTCCTCCATGTTAGCGTCCTCCATGTTGGTGTCCTCCATGATCGCGCTCTGTTATGTCTACTTGAAGCATTTGGTCCGGGTTAGCTGGAGCTTCTCGGTTTCTTGAAGCTTCCTTGACCTTTGCCCCCACATCTTCGTGAGCCTGGCTCAGACGATGAAGCTGCTGAAGCTGAGGAGGAACGTGGTGAAGCTCTCTCTCTTCAGACACTTCAGCAACACGCTCATCTTCGCTGTCATCGGTGCGTGCATGCCTCCTCTTCCTCCTCTTCCTCCTCTTGCCTTTCTAAACTCTGTGTCGTTTTCAGCTTCTGTGATCTTCATCATCTGGACGGCGAAGAACTTCACCATGTCCAAGTGTCGCTCTGTAAGTAAGGAGACGCCCTCGTGTCTCTCCGTCATCACATCGTTCACGTTTTCATCCTTGCTGGTTCAGGATTGGAGGGAAGTCTGGATCCAAGACGCTTTCTGGCGCTTCCTGTTTTCTGTCATCCTATTGGTCATCATGTTCCTATGGCGACCGTCGGCCAATAATCAGATGTAAGAGGCGTTCTGTGTTGGTTTCATGTCTTATTCTGTGGTTTTAAGTGGACTGTGTTTGTGTGTGTCAGGTACGCCTTCAGCCCCCTGGTGGACGCGGACAGTGAGGACGAGGAGGAGAAGGAGCCCATGATGAACGAGGCTTTTGGTCAGAAACCTTCATCGTTCGTCTTCCTCAGGCCTTCCTGGCAGCCTCCAGTGAAGCTGCAGTTTGTTATGAAGTGAAGTTCTAGCTTCCCCTTTAACTGCTTCCTGTTTGATTCAGGGGATCACTGGTTTTAGTATTTAATAAGAAATCAGTGGACATCCCATAATAATCCTTATTAAGTAGTGAATGTGTTTATAAAAGCAGCAGATGACTAAAGTCTTGAGGCTGAGTGTGTTTCTAATATGTTGAAGCTTGTTGACCGTCTGATTGAGTCGAGTTTCTCTGCAGACTTGAAGTGGGCGTGTCTAAAGCGCGAGCTCTGATTGGCTGGCTCCTGCTGCAGCAATCATTCATCAGCTTTAAAAAAGTAAAAATGTTCAGGCCAGCTGACGTCACGTTGTGTTTGGAATGATAGCTTTACAGTTTCTGTGGTTTCCATCCGGGTCAGACTGTAAACGTGTCTCATCTGGTTCTGTAGTTCTGGATTTTTCCTATGGAGACCAGATTCTGCAGCTGCTGGTCGTCACAGTTCCTATAGATGTATTACTGAGCGGTTCGGCCCACACAGGAAGTGAACAGGAAGTGACTTTCAGCTGGTCCAGGAACTCTGACATGTTGAAGCTTTGCTGTTTGTTTCCCATCAGAGGGGATGAAGATGAGGGGGACAAAGACGGAGACCAACGGGACGGCCAGACCCAACAAAGTGGTGAGCTCTGTAAATCATCTTCATCACCACCATCTTCATCAGCTTCAGCTGTTTGCTAATCAGGCGGTTCTGCTGTGTCGGGACAGGATGAAGATCTGAAGTGGGTGGAGGAGAACATCCCGTCATCGATGGCCGACATGTGAGTCAGAGCCAGCTCAGTAGCCCGAACCGAGTTAACATCAAGCTAGCCTTGAGCTAGCCTACAGCTAACATCAAGCTAGCCTACAGCTAACTGGCTCCTCTTGTTTCCACAGAGCGCTGCCCCCTCTGCTGGACTCAGACGAGGTCAGTTCCTGCTTACTTCCTGGTTTCACTTCCTGGTTCTGGTTTTCCAGTGTGATCAATATTCAGTAGAGTCACTTTAACCTCTTGTCACCCCTCGGGTTATGAAATGAGATGAATTCGTCTGTAGGAGCGTAAACTGCGTTTACATGTCGATGATGTCATCGTTTCCAATTGGATCCTGATTCCATCAGTCTGTCCTCCATGTTGGTTTCTTCTGAATTAAACCTGTAACCTGGTTTATTTGCAAACCGTCCTTCATGCTGCTCATTCCTCCAAACAGGCACTTTATGTTCCAGATCATGATGATGAAACGGAGCTCTTTTAAAGCTTAAAGGTAGTACGATAGACTCTGATTAGCTTCTCTGCTCTGCTATTGTTTAGTGTAAAGCATAAAGTTATTACAAGTTATCTGATGAAGATGTGCCAATCATGAAACGTTGTCAGGTTTGAACGCCAGTTATTAAAAACGATCAAACCGTCCAGGCTCCTGTCAGCTCTGCGGGACGGCAGAGAGTGCTAACATGTGAGTCAACATACAGGCTAACACCCTGGGTGAATGTTAAAGTTGCTCACTCTGAACCAAATCAATGAATCATATTGATCTCTGTTTCAGGAAACCCAGACCACGAAGCTGGAGATGTCAAAGATGGAGTAACTGGGCAGATGGAGAGACAGCTGGTGTTTCTAACTGGACATGATGAAGAAGTGGAGGATAGAGGGATGGAGGATGGAAGATGGAGGACGGAAGGATGGGATAGAGGGATGGAGAACGGAGGAGTGAAGAGTTTTTCTGGTTTTCCTCTGATTCTCTCCTGGCTTTATGAACTTTGTAAGCGTTTCACTGGGAGCTGAATCCAATCATTCTGTGTATTTATAATAATGATCTGCTTTCTGCTTCCATTGTTGTTGCGCAGCGGCGCCGCCCTGCTGGACGTTTGTCTGGTTATCTTTTATATTTTTTGCATTTTGAATTGGTGTTTGGATATTTTTCCTTCTCTAAAAGCCAAAGGGACAAACCAGATAGAGAACTCACGAGGAATTATTGACTTTTATTTTATAAAGTTTGTCTGTTTCAACCAATAAAGTTTTATTTTCACCTGATTGGTGCTGAAGCTTTATCCTGCCCAGTGGTGCAAAAAGTGGCGATGCACTGCATGCAGCCCACAGGGGGCGCTAAAACGATGTGGGTATTTTTTTTCTAGTCAGCATTTCTGAGCTAACAGCTGTTTGTGTGTGAAATGATCAATAGCAGAGGATCAGCACTGATGCAGCGAGCTGGGGCCCTTTTCTCGCTTTTCTCTCTACATGTGACTGTAGTCATGAACTGCAGGAAGCTAAAGATGGCGGCAGGAAATCTCCGGAACAAAACGGAAGAGGAGGAGGGACGAAGAAAAGCTTTCAAAGTGGCTGAAAGACAGAAGGTGAGTAAAGTCCATGTATCAACAGGAGCTGTAGATGTTCAGGTTAGCTTAAGCTAGGTTAGCTTAAACTGGGTTAGCTTAAGCTAGGCTACAATGGCAGCTGCTTGTTGTTTCCGCTCCGTATTGAACCAACGGGACGCCATTTATTCATTATTGCTATAATGTCCAATAGACACTCATATCACACACATCTCAACAATAAGTGCGATAATAATCCCTAAACATGATAGTAAGTTCAGCTAAACAGTCTGGGGACCTGAATAGGACAGGAACCGCTGACCCGTCAGAACCCACAGAACCAGAACCAGTCTCTTCATCCCTCACTCACCCTGAGACCCAAAATAATATCAATGGCAACTTAAACCACAAGTCATAAACATAGATTCATAATTAATTAGTTTTGTGAAGAGAAACTTTATTTTTACAACATTAGGAACGTTTGTTCGGATTGTGCAGGAAAAACTTTGATATCTTTTATAAAACAATGTTTTGTGCTCACTATTATTTCACCATTTTATGAATGTGGTTTGGATCAGGCTTCATATCAGCTATAATAATAATATAACACATGCTAACAAAATGGCTCAGAGCTGCAGCCCAGAGGGGCTCTGAAATATTGCCCTGTTTGTTGTTTAATTCTTCTTTAAACGTCCTGTAGGCAGCAATTTATTCACATATATGTACATTTATTATATTGATGCTTTAATTAAAGATGACTTGTGCAGGTTTATGTCATGGGGGGGGCGATACACTGATCCGGCCTCCTCTTCCTCTGGACAGAACCGGTTCTGGTCAGGCTAAACATGGCCGCCCGCCTGACCCAAACCAACACGGCGTCCGCCACCAGCTCCACATAATCCAGATTAATCCAGACACACTGCAGATTCCTGGCGGATCATCAGAGCGCCTGGGAAAATGAAACTCATGAAAAAACAGAAGTTACCCGAACGGGACCGGCCCGACGGCAGGAAGCAGGCAGAAACTTTGTGGCCGGAAACACCATTTTGTTTTTATGTCCAAAGAGAAAATTGATCTGAAAAATACTGGCAAAAATTTACAAAGGAGGGAAAAGTTCATTTTAGCTCGGCTCTGAGGACGCCAACCTTTTCCCCCTTTACTCTGCCACCTGTCAATAAAGCCCAGTGTGTCTGACACCCCCTGCTAGACGGCTGTCTGTAAAACCTTTTGGAACATGGAGGTAGTTTAGCAGACGCTACGTTTATGTTTGTGATGGTAGGACAGAAAGTTGTGAACCTGACCTCCCGATGACCTTAGAAGGTTGCTATGGAGACCACACGATGCGAGGTGTGAAGATGTTTTCACTTCATCAGGTGACCAACCGGGTCTCTGGTCCAGTTTCATTATTGGTCTGAATCTATTGTTTATTAGTCATTGTGCAATTTATGCATGATTTTAATTTAATTGAAAAAAATTAAAATGACATAAGCTAAAAATGAACTTATTTTATCCAACATTTTCTAATGTTGACTAATATTGCTGATTTGCCTCTGCTTGTTGCCTCTGCATGTTGCCTCTGCATGTTGCCTCTGCATGTTGCCTCTGCATGTTGCCTCTGCTTGTTGCCTCTGCATGTTGCCTCTGCATGTTGCCTCTGCATGTTGCCTCTGCATGTTGCCTCTGCTTGTTGCTCTGCTTGTTGCTCTGTATGTTGCCTCTGCATGTTGCCTCTGCTTGTTGCCTCTGCTTGTTGCCTCTGTATGTTGCCTCTGCATGTTGCCTCTGCATGTTGCCTCTGCATGTTGCCTCTGCTTGTTGCCTGCTTGTTGCCTCTGCATGTTGCCTCTGCATGTTGCCTCTGCTTGTTGCCTCTGCTTGTTGCCTCTGCATGTTGCCTCTGCTTGTTGCCTCTGCATGTTGCCTTGCTTGTTGCCTCTGCTTGTTGCCTCTGCATGTTGCCTCTGTATGTTGCCTGCATGTTGCCTCTGCTTGTTGCCTCTGCTTGTTGCCTCTGCATGTTGCCTCTGCTTGTTGCCTCTGCTTGTTGCCTCTGCATGTTGCCTCTGCATGTTGCCTCTGCATGTTGCCTCTGCATGTTGCCTCTGCTTGTTGCCTCTGCATGTTGCCTCTGCTTGTTGCCTCTGCTTGTTGCCTCTGTATGTTGCTTCTGCATGTTGCCTCTGCTTGTTGCCTCTGCATGTTGCCTCTGCATGTTGCCTCTGCTTGTTGCCTCTGCTTGTTGCCTCTGCATGTTGCCTCTGCTTGTTGCCTCTGCTTGTTGCCTCTGCATGTTGCCTCTGCATGTTGCCTCTGCATGTTGCCTCTGCATGTTGCCTCTGCATGTTGCCTCTGCATGTTGCCTCTGCTTGTTGCCTCTGCTTGTTGCCTCTGCTTGTTGCCTCTGTATGTTGCCTCTGCATGTTGCCTCTGCATGTTGCCTCTGCTTGTTGCCTCTGCTTGTTGCCTCTGCTTGTTGCCTCTGTATGTTGCCTCTGCTTGTTGCCTCTGCTTGTTGCCTCTGCTTGTTGCCTCTGCATGTTGCCTCTGCATGTTGCCTCTGCTTGTTGCCTCTGCTTGTTGCCTCTGTATGTTGCCTCTGCATGTTGCCTCTGCTTGTTGCCTCTGCTTGTTGCCTCTGTATGTTGCCTCTGCATGTTGCCTCTGCATGTTGCCTCTGCATGTTGCCTCTGCATGTTGCCTCTGCTTGTTGCCTCTGCATGTTGCCTCTGCATGTTGCTCTGCTTGTTGCCTCTGCATGTTGCCTCTGCATGTTGCCTCTGCTTGTTGCCTCTGCATGTTGCCTCTGCATGTTGCCTCTGCTTGTTGCCTCTGCTGTTGCCTCTGCATGTTGCCTCTGCATGTTGCCTCTGCATGTTGCCTCTGCATGTTGCCTCTGCTTGTTGCCTCTGCTTGTTGCCTTGCTTGTTGCCTCTGCTTGTTGCCTCTGCATGTTGCTCTGCTTGTTGCCTCTGCTTGTTGCCTCTGCTTGTTGCCTCTGCTTGTTGCCTCTGCATGTTGCCTCTGCTTGTTGCCTCTGCTTGTTGCCTCTGCTTGTTGCCTCTGCTTGTTGCCTCTGCTTGTTGCCTCTGCTTGTTGCCTCTGCATGTTGCCTCTGCTTGTTGCCTCTGCTTGTTGCCTCTGCATGTTGCCTCTGCATGTTGCCTCTGCATGTTGCCTCTGCATGTTGCCTCTGCTTGTTGCCTCTGCTTGTTGCCTCTGCTTGTTGCCTCTGCATGTTGCCTCTGCATGTTGCCTCTGCTTGTTGCCTCTGCTTGTTGCCTCTGCATGTTGCCTCTGCATGTTGCCTCTGCTTGTTGCCTCTGCATGTTGCCTCTGCTTGTTGCCTCTGCATGTTGCCTCTGCATGTTGCCTCTGCATGTTGCCTCTGCATGTTGCCTCTGCATGTTGCCTCTGCATGTTGCCTCTGCTTGTTGCCTCTGCATGTTGCCTCTGCTTGTTGCCTCTGCATGTTGCCTCTGCTTGTTGCCTCTGCTTGTTGCCTCTGCTTGTTGCCTCTGCATGTTGCCTGCTTGTTGCCCTCTGCTTGTTGCCTCTGCTTGTTGCCTTGCATGTTGCCTCTGCTTGTTGCCTCTGCATGTTGCCTCTGCATGTTGCCTCTGCATGTTGCCTCTGCTTGTTGCCTCTGCATGTTGCCTCTGCATGTTGCCTCTGCTTGTTGCCTCTGCTTGTTGCCTCTGCTTGTTGCCTCTGCATGTTGCCTCAATCTGGACACAGGCTGATGGACCTTGACATCAAGCCCCTGTGAGGAATCGTGTTTCTTTGCCAAACTCCACATCAAGGTCAGAGGTTAATCTCACCATGTTAGCTCTAGTTGTGCAGCTCTATGTGAACCACAGGAATAACTTGTCGTCTTTCTCTCAGAGGAGCGTTGAGGTGAGAATGATTTGTCTTTGTGGACAAAGAATTAGGAGGCGTTTCCATGTCAGCAGCTGCCCAGCGGGTGGCGCTGTCGTCCCCGTAAAGTTCGTGTCTGTGTTCCCGGTTGGTCGGAGCGTTAGCGGTTAGCGAACCAGCGCTAAGCTCATCATGCAGGTTCAGCCGGTGAGGAGCTTTCAGTTCTCCTGGTGGTCGCGCTTCACGCTGCTTGATATCATTTTATCATTATTATCCTGTTACATCAAACCGACCGTTTGTCCACTTAGCCTGAGTTAATGCGCGCGGCCAAGCAGAGACCTTAAACTCTCCTCCCATAAACTCAGGCAGCCAGAACAGTTTCTGTGGCTCTGATGAAAACTCAAAGACGGAAATGTTAGAGCTGCTAAAGCCACATTAGCAGCATTAAAAATCTGTTGTCCCTCTCTGCAGTGCAGCAGGTTGAACTCATCCTGCAGGGCCGGTCCAAAGCTGCCTGAGGCCCGGGGCAGAACCTGACTGTGGGACCCTCTTGCTGCTAAAACATCAGAACCTCTAGCAGCTTCTGTTGGATTTAATCTGGAGATTAAAGTAGATTAACTGGCCAATCTAAAACTATCAGTTACGTATAATTTCAGTTTATTTGTATTTGTGAAACAAACAGCTCAAACTCAAAGATTAAACTCACAGCATCAGATTGTTATGGTAACAAATTACTGTTGTTTGAACTGTTACAAAGTAAACTTAGCAGCTCCTTAAAACTTTACATCTAAATGTTAAACAATTTAAAATCTTTTAATTTATGTTGAAACCATTAAATCAAATTCAGCAGCATTGATCATCTCAACAAATAAATGTTACATTTATGTGTTAAAATATCAGCATTTATGGCCCTGAAGCCCTGGGGGCCCGAAGGAAACGCTGACTTAATGTGGATTAAAGAGAAAAGCAAATCATTAATATTCATTTGCTTGAAGACAAATTGTGGGTTTAAATATTGTTTCACTGTCAATGTTTTTTATAATTACCAGTAATATTTGTACATTTCCAGTCAAATTAACATCTTTTAATATGTTGTAACACGGCGGACGGCTCGGCGCCCCGACCGCCGGGCTGAGCAGCTTCACTGGGGGAAATCCTGCATTAATAAGAAAATATTTTTGTTTTGGCTGCAAATTCAACTTGAACAATTTGTCAGTGCAACGTCTGGACTAAATGTGATCAGATCTGATATTTACACTTCAAATTGTCCATTGTGTCTTCATCACTTCATCCTCTCTTTACTTTCTAAAACCTTTTCAGTGTTTAAAATAAAGATCACCTGGATGCTAAAAATATGAGCTGAAGCTTCTTTTACTCAGTTAGGAGAAAGAAAAACAAGAATTTAGATCACTTTCAAAGTTTGTGAACTGCACAAAATCAGCCCAGGAGCCACAAATGGCCCCCGGGCCGCCCTTTGAACCCCCTGGACCGGACGCATTGTGTAAAATATGAATTTAAATGTGTGCTCAGTGGCATGTTGCAGGAAATGATGGCGGTGTTTTAATTTGGTGGATATCTGAACGTTTCCAAAGTGCAGGACTGTCTGCGCTGAGCTGCAGCTTCACTGACGCTGCAGCTGAGTTTCGGAGCCGTCATGAATCCATGGTAATCCAGCAGGCAGATTGTTGATCATATTATAATCAGGCATCATGTTTTGGTGAGCAAGATTAAAGGATTGTTCCTCATGTTTGTCTGAAATAAATCTGCTGAACCTTTTCAGCTCTAATCCTTTAGACGACTGAGGCTCATTTTTCATTTCTGCGCCAAACTAATTCATATCTTTTGTTTTGATTGCATAAAGAAAACAGCAGCAGACAAAAGGTGTGAAGCGTCTGCTGCAACATCCCATAATACTCACAGACCTGCTTCAGCACAAAGGCTCTGGCCTCACTCCGCCCGTTACGTAACGGGATTATCGATACGCAGATTAACGGCCGACCAATGGGAAGCAAGCCCCGCCCCCAAACAGAAACCAGTGACTCGCAGGTTAGTTGTTAGATTTTATTGTTTCTATCTTTCTTGACAATTTGCTAGCAGACGTGAAAACTTGGACCAACAGAACATCATCCTGGTTATTATTGTTGCTTTTCATTGTTTATTAATTACAGCATAAAAAAACAAAGAATCAAAACCAAACAGGAAAACAAGAAAAACAAACATGTGGACTTTATTCGTCGAAGCCGTTTTGCTTTTCTTTTTATTCCATGTTCACAATATAACAGTCTAAAACATTAAACACTCAGAGCTGCAGACAGGGCAGTGGTGGGGCTCCTACTGGGAGCAGTGGGAACACTGGGGCTGAGGGGGGCTCTACCAACAAAAACGCTCATCAATATAAAACTAAGAGTCTTTTTTCTTCCTTGGTTTTTTTTGTTTCCTTCACATTTAAATCCACCAATCAGACGGCGGCAGTGACTGGCGGTGGGGAGGAGCTAAAGGAGGGATTTACATTTCTGCATTTCTTTTCCTGTAGACAATATAAAATCTCACAGACAAGCAAAGAAAAAGTGGAACAGATGCATGTTTCGTGTGCACGCCCGGCGCAGGGAGACGGATGAAGGCGGCTGAATTATTGCTTTCTGAGGAAGGATTTGAACTTCTCATCTACATGAACTGCATCCCTCATTCGCTCCGACTGTCTCTCACCGTGGTGATCTGTTTACGTGATTATTCGGGAGGAGGAGGAGGAGGGAGGAGGAAGAGTTGGGGCGGGGCTCAGAGCTCCTTGCTCAGCGAATCCCGGGCAGTTTTAATCCTCTTTGTTTGGCCTCACACGTTTCCCGCCTTTTTGTCTGGCAAACGATAACAAAAGAGATTGAAAAAATGTATTAAAAATAGAAGAATCAAAGCAGTCATACAAAAAGATCAGATGTGAGTTTAGTGGTTTTTACAGATCACTAGTGTTGTTAGTTTTCTAGTGTGAAAGGAAACAGAAAAGCATCATTGCTGCCACATGATGGAGGATCATCAGCATGAAGAGCAGCGTCTCAATCAGATTCTCCTTTCATTCGTCACTTCAGGAAAACTGAACTCTGTTCAATAATTCACTGAAAACTAACCACGCGACTGCAGCGAGTTAGCTCTTTACTGATGGCCTTATCACCCAGCTTGCTTCTATCAACATAAACACTGAGCTAACTAATGAGCTGATTAGTTCAGTCTAACTACTAACTAAGTTTAGGAGCTGAAACTTGGTTTAGCTAAAAAGCTCCTGTGACTGATGTCACATGGATGGACTCTTTGGTCTCCGTCCTGTGACAGCGGGCCGACAGGAAGAGGAAGACAATCTGCAAATAGCGTCAGGTCCGGGAATCGAACCCGCAACGGCCGCGTCGAGAACTGAACGCCGTGTTTCCACGCGTCGGCTAGAAACGCGGTTTCCTTCACTGCAAAGCTAACATCATAGGTTAGGACTCGTTAGCTAGTGAAAGCTAACCTCTTCCTGCTGAGCGCGGCCTGGAAGGTTTTAAAAGACTCTAAAGCTTCATCTTGATTTAGATTTTTCTCGTCTGTTGATGTGACTTTAATCTTCTTTGCATCATTGAAAAGTGAAGCACCAGAACTTAAACTATTTAGCTTGTTAAAGCTAACAGCTAATTAGTAAATTCAACAGCCATAAGACGTTTAGCAAGTCTTTGTTAATTTCAGATTAATTATCAATCTTTTTTTTCTATAGAGCTAAATATTAAGCTAAAGATTGTTAGCTAGTAACTGCTACCAGTTCATTTTAACTGATGGAAGATTATGAATAAAGCCTTAATTTTGACTGCTAATGACAGCTTGATGTAAATAGCTAACAGCTAGTTAGCTATTTAAAGCTAGCAGCTACTGGCACCTGGAAGCTCTAGGAGGAAGATCAACGACAAAAACAGTCTGGACTTGTACTTCAGACGATTTCAAGAAATCAAAAAGGTTTTTTTGAGAGAAGTTTGTCATAAAGAAAAGCAAACAAATAACCGACAGCTATCTGAACTATTTCTGGATTACATTTTTGTCTGGGACACCAGCTAATCTGCAGACAACAATATGAAAAACTGTTTAATCTTGTTTTTCTAACTTCACTCACTAACTCAGCATTTGCCCAAATCAACTCGGTGCCTGAGTCTGGAGGGTTTGTGTCCTTCAGACTGTTGTTGTCTTTGCTGCCAAAGTCAGTACAACGAAAGGAAGCTAGTTCTGCTAGTTCTGCTAGCCCTGGAGGCTCTTCATTTATTTAAAATAATAACTTGTATCTGAATGCTGCAGATTTTCTCCTGTTTGCTGTTCAAATAGAGAAAATAAGTCCTGAAACGTTGCAACATCTGCAGGTTGGGACAGAACAAAGTTACAGGAACTGCTAAAGCATAAATCCTGTTAGCAACTCGTCACCAAAAGAGCCTCCAGGAAACGTTGCTGCTGCGCCTGCTGAGCATTTTGGGATGAAAGCGGCGCCGCTGGACGGCGAGCCGGGCGCAGCAATCTGAATGGAGAGGAGGCGAGAGCCAGAATAACGGAGGAGGTCAGAGGTCACCCTGAGCAGGTGGCAACCACACAAAAGCTTCAAAAACGGAGCGCCGAGTCAGCATAAAGGAACGCGCTCCCTCAGCAGACCTCACACAGAGACGGAAACTTTGGCTAGTTTGTGTTTTCACACCGTTTGCTGTCAGTCAGACGCCACTGTTTCTGTTTGAACAACTTCCTGAGAAAAAAGCTTCCTGTGGTCTGAAAGCTGCTGCCAGAGTCCTGCTTTCATCAGCGGCTGTTTCTGTCCATCAACTTTAGCTGCTCTGAGGTTAGCCTAGCTTAGCATAAAGACGGGAGAGCGTCCAGGTTAGCCTAGCTTAGCATAAAGACTGGAGAGCATACTCGTTAGCCTAGCTTAGCATAAAGACTGGAAGCAGAGAGAAACTGCTAGCATTGCTCAGATTAAACCCTTTTAACCCGTATTGATGATCCCACTGTCTGATTATCTGTGGAGTTTTTCATAAAAAATTAATATTCTCACAGTTATTACGTTTAAAGACTCGATTTGCAAGATGAAGCCAAACTATCAGAAAGAACGTTTTGTTTTTATTTTGCCTGAACAATAATAAATTAGTAATAAAATTTTAATAATAATCAGAATTAAATGTTTTTCAAAGCAGAAAAACCAGAGTTTTGGTGCAATAAGAGGCTTTCATGTGAAGCATAAACTGACATTTTTTGGCTCATTTTTATGTCACAATTTCTTTGACTGGGCCGAATGTCAACGTAATCATGTGTCATCCATTGCATAACACAACGCCGGTAAAACTTCAGGACCGACTTCCCAGCAGCAACCAGGCCTGTTTGAAATTCTGGTCGCCCCCAGTGAAGGTGTCGCCCTGCTGCTGCTGCCCTGCTGCTGCTGCTGCTGCCCCTGCTGCTGCTGCCGCTTTAGCCCCTGCTGCTGCAGCCCCTGCTGCTGCTGCCGCTTTAGCCCCTGCTGCTGCTGCTGCAGCCCCTGCTGCTGCTGCCGCTTTAGCCCCTGCTGCTGCAGCCCCTGCTGCTGCTGCTGCTGCTGCAGCCCCTCAGCTGAGCTCAGTGGAATGCTTCTGACAAGCAATACAATGTATCACTATAATAATTAAATACTCATTAAAAAAGAATTTAAATACTGGAAATAACAAACTTCAAACGGCACATGAAAATAAATCTGATTTTAAGGTTCATGCATCTCTCTCACGTTAGCATTAGCATATATTTTCAGACCGCTGCAGTAAAAGCTTGCAGCTAACTGAGGTGGAGTTAAAGTTACTACCAGCCAAAATGAGCGGATTATTCATCCTGTCATAATGAAAATAACTGGTTCATTTTTCATCATGTTATTCATTTATATATGCCACAGTTCCAAACTAAATATTAGACTGAAGCTAATTATTGAGCTTACACATATTCAGGTCATGTGCAGATTCACTTGGACTATCAAAATAAAAGCTGGGTTTTCTGAAACATTTTAACTCCAGCTTTCAAATCACAACTTTATCTTTGTTTTCTCTTTTCCTGAACAACATTGCAGCTTGAAGGATGAGCTAATTCAGAGCCAGCTAAATATTCAGCTAGCTAGCTAAAATGAACTGCCATGTTTGACCGGCTAAATAACAGATGATTATTTTTCTTTCTCTGCTCTGGACTCAAGGCTACGACGTGTTGCTAACGCACGCACAGTGAGATGAAATGATTTGTGATGCTGGCCGCTGTTTGATCTGGAACTCATCATATGGAGCTTTTTGTTATCTGGACAGTGATTTATGGATTCGTGACACTTTGTTGTTGAGTTGTTCCGGTTCTGATGAAGCACCAAACCAGATGTTCCTAGAAATGTGGTGGAAATCTAAAAATCACGCCTCTTAAAGTCTGTACTGCAGACAAACCCTCAGAAATAAACTCTGAGGAGAAAACTGACTTTTAGCTGCTTCCATTCACTGCTGCTGCTATGAACAGGTGACCACAACGGGCCTAAAATTGGCCTTAAAGCTGCAGATCAGGTGTAAACTTCTTTCCCTACGTAACTTTAGCTTGGGAAAGTGTTTTAATGTGACGATGGTAATGTGCAGTAAAGTGTGGATATAAGGAGCGTGTTCGTGTCGTCAGTATCTAACTTTGTAATGGTCATTGAAGCCGTTGTCCATGCTCAGCTCCCTCTCTAATTGGACGGTAGCTGCTGACATCACAGTTTGAACGATAGCCACGGCTGCTTCTCGGAGGTTCCTCTTCCTCATCTCCTCCTCCTCTTCCTCCCCCCTGCCTCCCTGGTCACAGCCTCCATTTTGGGGACACTCTGCCTCTCCCCCCTCCTCCTCTTCCTCCCTGCTCTCGGTTAGCGCTAGCTTGGATTCAACATGGCTGCCTTGCTTCCTGCTGCTGTGTTGCTGCTGCCGCTTGCTGTTAGCTCCTCCTCCTGCGCGGCCGCGCTGAGGCCCGTCAGAGTCCCGGCCGATGCGCTCGAACTCACCGCTGTTCACAGCCGCTGTGGCGTTGATGATCTTGGCGTTGGCGTCGTCCTTCACGCCCTCCTTGCTCTTCTTCATGGGGCTGCTGTCCTTCGTCTCCTCCTGGTGGTTCTCGGTGGCGTTCTCCTCCGCCATGCCGTTGGAGCAGCCCGTCTCGCCGTTGGTCTCTGGCGCTTCCACCGGCGTCTTCTCCGGCTCCTCCGCCGCCTCGCCTCCGCTCTCTGCAGTCTTCTCCTCCGGCTCTTTGTCGTTGCTTTCCTGGGTCGCTGCGTCGGCGGCGCCCTCCTCCGCGCCGTCTCCTCCTTCGGTGGCCTCCTCCTCCTCCTCCTTGGCGCCTTCGCCCTGGTCCACGCTGCTGGACTTGCCCTTCCGCATGATGAAGTTCTTCAGGGAAACGGCACGGCCAAAGTGGGAACGCTTGGCCTTGGCTGATTTGGAGTCTTTGCCTTCCTCTGCGGCTGCTTCCTCACCTGCGGAGGAAATGGAGGAACTGTAGCGTCACTCCAGAATTAACGAGCGTTTTAAAAACGGACTGGATGGAAACTGCAGTGTGTCTGGGTTATTTTGAATGACCCTTTCTGTAGAGCAAGCTTCTTAGCAGCTAGCTGTGCTAACCCAAACACACAGCTGATAATCGCTAGCTCTGCTAATGCTAAAGCGCTAAATTCTTTCTTGCTGCTTTAGCCTAATTGACTGCAGCAGAAAGCATGCTATCATTAGCAGAGTTTACTGTTCTACAGCAATGCATTCTGGGTAGAAAATGAGTCATTTTCTGCACCACATCAGGAGAACACACTGAAGTGCTTGCTAACATTCGACACGGATGTCAAACGTTTTTCAACTGACAGTTTATAAAACAGCCAAGTCAATTAGCATTTTAGGATTTATCCAGAAAATGTATTTTATTGGAAGCTAAGTAGGCTGAATGCTTTCAAAGTTAGCAAAAAGGCTAAAAATTATCTCTGCTATTAGCGCATTTGCAGATTAGCAAACGTTTTCCCACTGCTACTTTAAGTATTAAAGTCTTAGAAAGCAGAACCTTTAATGTTGGGGAAGCTAAGTGTGCTAGATGTTTTCAAAGTTAGTAAAATCGCTACAGCGCCAAACAAAAAGTTAGCTCACCTATTAGCGGATTAATGGAAGTGTGCTCACCGCTGCTTCTTACCCATGATGGTTTCACCCGGAGAATCCAGAAAGCTTTGAAATAATTCATGAATAGTTTAAACTTTCAGTGTTGATTTAATGCTTATAGAGCTCACAGGAAAACGGCCCAATGTGAAAACAGCCGCAGTTTTCAAACACCAGGGCTGCAGCTTCTTTAGAGAACCTGTAGCATAGCTCCCGTTAGCGGACGCTTGCCTCTGATTGGCTGATGATGCCTGGTGGCGACGCCTCCCTGGAACTTCTCGCCTTGGAGTCTCAGGAGTTCAGAGACTCAATCTAAGCTGTAGAAACAGAACTGCAGTGGTCAGCGGGCGGACCGATCGCTGCGTCAAACGTTGGAGACAACTTTATTCCTGCAAGATGAAGCGTGATCCAAAGCAGGGAACCGCTCCAGCTCCAGAACCGCCCTTCAGCCGATCCAGACGGTTCTGTGAATCTGGATTGTTAGCCGTGTTCCCATCAACAGCTTTATTCACATTTTAACGTATCGCATTAGAAAAAGTTGATAGAAATGTCACAATTTAAAATGACTTCCTCAGTCAAAAAGATCTAATGCTGGATAAGTTCTGATGCAGTGAACCTCCACCGCCGGGCCGGGACCGCCTGGCCGGGCCGGGACCGCCTGGCCGGGCCGGGACCGCCTGGCCGGGCCGGGACCGCCTGGCCGGGCCCGCCGGGCCGGGACCGCCTGGCCGGGCCGGGCCGGGCCGGGCCCGCCTGGCCGGGCCGGGACCGCCTGGCCGGGCCGGGCCCGCCTGGCCGGGCCCGCCGGGCCGGGACCGCCTGGCCGGGCCGGGCCGGGCCGGGACCGCCTGGCCGGGCCGGGACCGCCTGGCCGGGCCGGGCCCGCCTGGCCGGGCCCGCCGGGCCGGGACCGCCTGGCCGGGCCGGGCCCGCCTGGCCGGGCCCGCCGGGCCGGGACCGCCGGGCCGGGACCGCCGGGCCGGGCCGGGCCCGCCTGGCCGGGACCGCCGGGCCGGGCCGGGCCGGGACCGCCGGGCCGGGACCGCCGGGCCGGGACCGCCGGGCCGGGCCGGGACCGCCGGGCCGGGACCGCTGGGCTGTGGGCCTTACCAAAGGCACCAGACTCTGAAACATCTCAAAGTCCTGGCCTACGGCAGGACTCTCTCTGATTCATGCTGGCTAGCAACTTCTACTTCCTGTTAGCAACTTCTACTTCCTGTTTATTCCAGCCATGCATAGTGTCAACCTCTGATGACATCACGCTGTTCAGCCTGGCTGATTGGCTCCTAACCAGCAGATGGAAATCAACTCATTTTTCCTTTCACCCGGTTTTGTTACATTTCGAACGTTTGGCTGTTGGTTGGATGGAGCCACGGCTGCTGGTACTGAACGGGTCGACCCGTTCTGCTGCCCGGTGCTGGAGGCTTTCAGCTGATTGGTTAACGGAGAGTCGATTGGATGTTTCAGCCTCCTGAGGAACATCCTTTTGTCTGTCACTCCTTCCTTTCATGAATTTAACACAGTGAACATGTGACTTGATAACACGGTAAACTACATCAGCTCCCTGCGAGCCGGTGACCCTTGACCTCCCTGGAAATGCGTGGACTCAGAGCCAGAGCTCTGCAGCGGTGTCCCTCTGGGACGAGACCTGGAGCCCTGCTCTTTCAAACCGCCGGTCAGACGAGATCCGACGTCTTTAGAAACGAGAGCAACCCGAATGGAGACCTACCGAATTCCACCTCGGACAGACGGATCACTCTGACCTCTGACCTCTAACTTCTGAGTGAGTTTTTTAGACAAAGTTGAGTTTTGAACAGAATCAGTCCGAAACAAAAACATTGCAACTGAAAACTAAGTGCACCCCATGACCCCATGACCCTGTGGAAACCATCGAGTCCACTCCATGACCGCCAGGTCATCACTCCTCCACCACCGTGCCTGACAGCCAAACTGAGCTGCTGTTTAGTTTGACTAACATCTCCTGCCTTTCCTCATATGAAGCGCTGCTGCGAACTCGCGTAGCGGTTGGATTTTACGACATTAGTTCCTGTTTTCTCACCAGAGGCTGCAGTGGCGTCCTCCTCACCAGTAGGGGCGCACTCTGTGTTGGCCCATTTGCTCTTGGGGATGACGCGCTTCTTGAAGGAGGTCCAGATCTCGTTGGCGTGTTGCGTCACCGTCCCGCCTCCCGCCGCTTTCTCCTCCTCGCCTCCCTCGGCCTTCTCCTCCTCCGTCTTTGCTTCCTCGGCTCCTGCCTCAGCCTTCCCGCCTTCTTCTTCTTCTCCTCCCCCTGCGGCCTCCTCTGTTTTGTCGGCAGGCTCTTTGTCCGAGCCCTTGGCCTTGCCGCTGATGCCCACCACGGACGAGTCCCTCTTCAGACCCTGGAAGGTCCAGGAGCGTTTCAGCTTCCAGCGCTTGTGACCGGACTCCTTGGAGTCCAGGGTGGAGGAGTCTCCGCCTCCTGCTTCTCCCTCTGCTCCCTCCTCCTTCCCGTCCTCGCCGCCGCCACTCTTTTTGTGTGTCTTCTGAGCCATGAGCTTCTTGAAGGAGTGCCAGCGCTTCATGTGCTTGGTGGTCGAGGACGAAGCTTTCTGCTCCCCCTGTGCTCCTGCCGCCGCTCCGTCCTCCTCCGCCGCCGTGGCGTCTGCCGCGGCGTCCGCCGTGGCGTTGAATGCTTCCGGGTCCTCCAGGCGGTCCAGGGACCGGGACCGGACCTTGACCTGCTTCTCGGGCTCCGCTGCGCCACCGTCCTTCTTCTCGGTGCTGCGATGGGAGAAGATCCTCGCCACGGGCTTCCGGATCAGATCGCGGACGGTGGATTTGGTCTCTGCGGGTTTGCTCTTCTTCTCTCCTCCTTCTCTCCGTTCTCTGCAGGCTTTTCCGTCGCCGCCTCTCCCTCGGCTCCTCCTTCGGCCTCCGCTCCTTCCTTTTCTACCTTTTCTCCGTCCTTCTCACCTCCTTCGACGGCGGCTTCCTCGGCTGCCCCTGTGGCCGCGGCGTGTTCCTTCTTCTTCCTGCCCGCCATCACTTTCCCCAGGCCGCTCTTGTTGAGGAAGGAGTCTAGGAAGGAGGTCTTGGTCTCGGCTGAAGAGGCGCTTTCTGAGCTCTGAGGAGCTGCTGCTGCTCCGGCCTCCTCGCCGCCGGCCTCCTCGCCGCCGGCCTCCTCGCCGCCGGCCTCCTCGCCGCCGGCCTCCTCGGCCGCAGCTGTGTCATTGTTCACAGTCTCTTGGTTTTCGGCCGCCTCGCTGCTGACGGCCGAGCCGTCGTTCTCCACTGCGTCGCTGCTGACAGTCTCTGCGTTTGCGGTTCTGACCGCCTTCTCCGCCTCGGCCGGCTCGCTTTCTGGGGATTTCCCATCTTCCACTGGCGCCGCGCTGACCTCAGTCGCCGCCATCTCAGAAAGGGAAAACAGTAACGAGAGCTGGACTTCCTTCCTCTGTGTGGTTGTGGTGCTGGGTTCCTCCGGCTGCGGCAGCCTCAGGTCACGCAGAGCAGTGGCCAGGAGGAAGCGCACTCAGCATCCTACTAGTCCTCCGAACTCCTGTGGAGAAGAGAGAGGAACAGATGGTTAATAGTCTGAATGACACCATGGACACTCAGTTAGTCTGGACCGGGCCGTGCTTTGAATGTGGAATGATCTGGACAGGGAATGTTTCCAGGACAAGAGACTCTTTGACAAGTTAAGGCTGTGAACTCGCCGTCAGCCGAACCTGCAGCGGGTTTCAGCACTGAAACAGGATCTTTATCCGTCACAGTGCTGCTGGTGCTGGTGGATCCGTTACGACCCAGAACCGGTGCCAGTCGTTCGCTCCGGCCCAGAACGACGAGCCGATGCTCTCCAGTGAGTCAGATCCCAACAGTAAATTGGGATCTAAAAGCAAACATACTCAACAGCAAGTCAGTAGATCATTAATCAATAAGCGATACTCCTGATCTCAGCAGGAAGCGCTGAGTCCCGCCTGGTCCTGCCGGGTTCTGATGATCCCGGACTGAACAAACCGGATTCAGCAATGAAATCAAAGCAAGTCTGCAACATTCAGGAGCAGCATGGAAACATCAGCTGGACGCCAGTTTATCACCTTTACTGGCAATTATTGGCTGATGCAACCTGACAACCTCAGTCAAAGGTCAAAGGTCAGTTTGGAGCTACGCAGCCTGTCAACAATCTGAAGGTAGTTTGGACCACAGTCACTGGCAAACTGGGAACACTGGAGGACAGAAGCTCTGAGGTGCGGAAGGCGCCGTCCGCAGCAGGCCTGAGGTCCGACTCGGTCCAAGGTTCTGGAGTCCTGCAGTCGGTTCTATTCAGATGTGAAGTGTCTCCAGGTCTCTGGTGTTCTAGATTGTCCCGGTTCTTTCTGGAGGACTGGCATGGCGGGAATCGAACCGTCTCCTCCCGGTTGGGCCCTCAGATCCGCCCGTCTCTTCGCCGTCGGCCCGTTTGCTTGGAGCAGGAGACGCTCCGCTGAGCGGCGGCGGCGGCTTCCATGAATGAATCTCAGCCCGATGAGTCAGGCTGGGCGAGCGCCGCCCGTCTGACGGGGGCGAGAAAGGGAAGCCGCCTGCAGCAGCGAGGATCTCAGGTGGATCTACGTGTTGCTGGAAAGGCGAGCGCCAAGTTGGGAGCGAATCCACCAAACGGACAAACAGGAAGTGACGCAGCTGGCGTGACGCAGCTGGCGTGACGCAGCTGGCGTGACGCAGCTCTGGCGTGACGCAGCTCTGGCGTGACGCAGCTCTGGCGTGACGCAGCTCTGGCGTGACGCAGCTCTGGCGTGACGCAGCTGGCGTGACGCAGCTGGCGTGACGCAGCTCTGGCGTGACGCAGCTGGCGTGACGCAGCTGGCGTGACGCAGCTGGCGTGACGCAGCTCTGGCGTGACGCAGCTGGCGTGACGCAGCTGGCGTGACGCAGCTGGCGTCAACGAGACGTCCAGGAACGCGTTGCCATGGTCCTGCTGGAGACGCGGTTTGGAGCGTCTGGGGAAACGGATCAGCTGATTGGTCATGTGACGTTAAACCTGTCTGTCGGTTTGGTGGCTCTGGTAAGGCGCAGCTCCTCCACTGGATGGGAGGCGTAGTGTTTCATCCAACACGTCTGTCCCTGCTAGGGCCTCCAGGGGTCAAAGGGCAAGAGGCGGAGTCACATAGACAGGAAATGTGTTTCCATCCATTTCCTTCTCAAGCGAAGGTTTAAACTCTCGCAGCTCCTCGGCTGCTGCAGTTCTGGGGATGATTTCATTTAATTTGACAAAATAATGAGCCAGAGATGATGTCATCACTCAGACTATGATGCGATAGATTTGCTCCATAAGCTGCATCACATCATTAGAGCGGTGATCAATCAGTCATTAAGCAGCAGGCCCCGCCCCTGTTGTGCGTCTTGGCAGATGGTGATTGGCTGCTGCAGCCCTGAGGTGCTGCAGCTCCGTCAGAAAGAGGACAAAATGGAGGGAGGGGCGATGAAGAGGAGGATGATGAAGAGGAGGAGCGGTGCAGACATGGGCTGATTGCGAAGCGTCTCTGTTTTCCTGCCGTCTGTCTGGTTTCCTCCTCTTCCTCTCGTCTTCGTGAGCCGTTCGATTGGGCTGCACTTAGAAACTCTGATGTTTTGATCGTTATTAACCCAGAACTGATCAGCAAGGTCAGGTGGAACCAGATCCAGCACCGGTACCGAGGTCCGGTTCCCTGCACAGCCCACATGAACCAGCGGTTCTGGTCCAGTCCAACAGTTTTTCACTGTGAGCATGTTACAGCTAACAGCTGCTAAGTGCTGAATGAATGCATGAATGGATGCATGAATGAATGCATGAATGGATGCATGAATGGATGCATGAGGCTCAAACTGAGCTGGATTTTACTGACCTGAGGCAAACGGCAAAAACACGCAGTAAAAATGGCTGAAAATGCTTCAATGAAAGAAAATAGAAACAAAATGTTGCAAATAGAAAAACAGCAGGAAATCTTCCACTAAACCTCCAGACCAGTAGGGGGAGTCATCCGCACATCATCTGGGACCAGGCTGGGGGAAGAGGCGCATTGAGCTTCATAACTTTTACAGTATTTTCTATGAGCAGCATATTTAGAGCTCCCCCTGGTGGTCAGCTGTGTTGAAGTGCAGACGTATAAGGGGAAACCCTCCAGGCCTGGAGTCGCCCAGCCCTGGGGCAGACGGATTCTTGCTCGCTGGTTTGCTGGTGCATCTGTGACGAGCGTCGTGTCGCTCCATGCAGATAAACAGTTTGTTGCTGCAGATTAAACCTGATGCTGCAGATTGACCTCTGAGAACCCGCAGGCCTTTTAGTGTGAAGGTATTAGAGAGCTTTAATCTGCAGCAGCAGAGCAGTCCGGTCCAGCTGGACCCAGTCCAGGAGGTCGCACATCCCGCCTGCTGGCGTTGCTGCCGCACATCTACGCTTATATTTCTATGTTCTCTGGAGAACAACAGGCTGCTGTGGTTCAAGTGCTGACATCTGGAGGAGGAATCGACACAACGGACTGTTCCCACACGGACACACACACACACACACACACTCAATAAATGTTTCAGACAGGATGGTTGTCTCTGACATCACTTCCTGCTCTTGTCTCCTTTTGCAGGAAATATTGGCTGCAGTTTTCTCCATTGCTAGTTCAGCTCTAGCCGCAATTTTTCCTTCCACTCAATTTTCATTAAATATTAATAAAGTGATTCTTTCTGGAGCTTTAATTGTATAAAACAACTCAAAGATGAAATCATGTCATGAAATGCTTCATATTTCAGATCCATATGCTGATGGTTCTGACCCGATCTACTTCCTGCAGGCTGGCGTCCTGGAAACTGTTTGTTAAAACTATCCGGTCCGATCTCTGCGGTCAGCGCCACACGTCTTGTCTGGTTCTGCTGGTCCGAAACTCTAATGGGCCGCCTATAGCGACCTCTGACCCCAGAACTCACCTCCATCATTTAGATCAGGTGAGCTCAAACTTTTTGAGACCAAGATCTACTTTTTCTCTCACCAGCCGGCTGAGATCTACCTCATGACATGAAGACATAGAAATTATAAATGAAACCCTATTGACTCATTTTCTATGCAAATATCCATCAGTTTTATCAGAAATGATAAAGTGATAGAAAACCTGATGCAGTTTCTTCCTCAGTGAGATTCTGACACTGGGAGCAGGTTACTGGTTTCAGCAGGTTACTGGTTTCAACAGGTTACTGGTTTCAGCAGGTTACTGGTTTCAATAGGTTACTGGTTTCAGCAGGTTACTGGTTTCAGTAGGTTACTGGTTTCAATAGGTTACTGGTTTCAACAGGTTACTGGTTTCAGTAGGTTACTGGTTTCAGCAGGTTACTGGTTTCAGTAGGTTACTGGTTTCAGCAGGTTACTGGTTTCAACAGGTTACTGGTTTCAATAGGTTACTGGTTTCAGTAGGTTACTGGTTTCAGCAGTTTACTGGTTTCAGTAGGTTACTGGTTTCAGCAGGTTACTGGTTTCAGTAGGTTACTGGTTTCAATAGGTTACTGGTTTCAGCAGGTTACTGGTTTCAGTAGGTTACTGGTTTCAATAGGTTACTGGTTTCAACAGGTTACTGGTTTCAGTAGGTTACTGGTTTCAGCAGGTTACTGGTTTCAGTAGGTTACTGGTTTCAGCAGGTTACTGGTTTCAGTAGGTTACTGGTTTCAATAGGTTACTGGTTTCAGCAGTTTACTGGTTTCAGTAGGTTACTGGTTTCAGCAGGTTACTGGTTTCAGTAGGTTACTGGTTTCAGCAGTTTACTGGTTTCAGTAGGTTACTGGTTTCAGCAGGTTACTGGTTTCAGCAGGTTACTGGTTTCAGTAGGTTACTGGTTTCATCAGGTTACTGGTTTCAGTAGTTTACTGGTTTCAGCAGGTTACTGGTTTCAGCAGGTTACTGGTTTCAGTAGGTTACCGGTTTCAGCAGGTTACTGGTTTCAGTAGGTTACTGGTTTCAGTAGGTTACTGGTTTCAGCAGGTTACTGGTTTCAGTAGGTTACTGGTTTCAGTAGGTTACCGGTTTCAGCAGGTTACTGGTTTCAACAGGTTACTGGTTTCAGCAGGTTACTGGTTTCAGTAGGTTACTGGTTTCAGCAGGTTACTGGTTTCAACAGGTTACTGGTTTCAGTAGGTTACTGGTTTCAGTAGGTTACTGGTTTCAGCAGGTTACTGGTTTCAGTAGGTTACTGGTTTCAGCAGGTTACTGGTTTCAGTAGGTTACTGGTTTCAGTAGGTTACTGGTTTCAGTAGGTTACTGGTTTCAATAGGTTACTGGTTTCAGTAGGTTACTGGTTTCAGTAGGTTACTGGTTTCAATAGGTTACTGGTTTCAGCAGGTTACTGGTTTCAGTAGGTTACTGGTTTCAGCAGGTTACTGGTTTCAACAGGTTACTGGTTTCAGTAGGTCACTGGTTTCAATAGGTTACTGGTTTCAGTAGGTCACTGGTTTCAGTAGGTTACTGGTTTCAATAGGTTACTGGTTTCAGCAGGTTACTGGTTTCAGCAGGTTACTGGTTTCAACAGGTTACTGGTTTCAGCAGGT